TATATATATATATATATGTTTCCTAATTAGATAATAATGATGACTTTTGATGTTTATCTTATAAGCGCTGTTACAGCATATTAAATGTATTCTATTTTTCACGTTGCACGTGACATTCTAACTTGGAAATATGCAGTGTTTTTGTCATTTAAATACCAAAAATAACTCAAGAAAAAAAAGGTGGACAAACTATACTGTCGGGATCTCACGTGCATCAAAATCTACAGAAAAATCATATTGTAAGCAGTATAAAAATTCAAAAAAAATTTTGTTGTATTACAAAGTTAATTCTGTTAAGTCACTTTTGGTTAGTATAAAGCTTAACTATGGAAAAAATTCAATATAGTGGAACAAAGTGATTCCATCTAATGACTTGTTTTTCAAAATTCCAATATTCCTTTACGGAAAATTATCCACATTTTATACACTACAATACCTTGTATTACTTCTTTTGGAGTAGTTTTCTTGTATATTATAGCTTGAAAAGTATCAATAATTAACGTTTAATTCGAAGATTAAAAAAAAAAAATTTTTGTGCTGCGTTTTGTCATCAACTATTAAAAAAAATAATTTCTGCAGGCACCATAATATCACTAATTCATAGGTTCCCTTACATTTGTAGCAAGAGTGAAATTGTTTGTCTGTTACTATGGCTGATCTTCAAAGTACATCATTGTTAAATTGTGATTTTATTTGCACATGGTACGGAAACTACTACTATTATACTCAAACTGACATCTTATAGTTTAATTTTTTTTAAAGGTTTTTTTTTTTTTTCTTTAGGATAATGATTCCATTAGTTTCCTATAGATATTGCAGTAATTATCATGCCAAACATTTTATCTTTGCAAATGATCCTCAATCAAGTCTCACAGTCCACGTGGGCTAATACTGAATTTTGTAATTTGAATAACCCAAGAAAAGTAATAAAACATTATTCTCTAAGCTCATTCCACATCGAAAAACGCTAAAGCCCTTAAAAATCACAAAAAAGTCAACATTTTTCAGGTATTATCTGATGCAACAAAACAACTCTTGATGGGACATCGCACAACCCTAAAAAACATATAAAGTACTTTTAAAGTATTTGGTTTTCTACGACTACTTCTATCAGACCATGGAAATAATCAAATTTATAATTTTTTATGGTTTTTAAATGCACAAGCTGAAGATATAATTAAATATAATAGAAATCGATTGCATTGGTGTTTAGTTGATGAAGATCCATAACTAAAGGTAATAATTAAAACAAAGGAATTTAGTTTGGATTAATTTTCATTTATACTTATTTATTCCAAAGAAATACGTTACAGCTGGTTCTATTACACAGCTGTGCGCTATTTATCTGAAAAAGGTATAGTGTACCGAAACAGCTGTAACGTACTTCTTCGGAATAAATAAATATATATGAAAATCAATTAAAACTAAATTTCTTTGTTGTAATAATTACCTTTAAATATAATAGACTTGGATAAACGGTTGCAGTGTGGTGGGAATAAATGGCTCCAGCATAATATATGCAAAATTAAATCTTCAATATCACCGCTTCAGATTTACTATGTATTAGGTTTTGAAGAAAATAAGAGAAGCTAGATTTTCCTTTTTTCATCAATGAAATTTCAAATCTGCAAAAAGGGAGCAGATTACTACATGTAATTACGTATAGTTTCAGAAAATTTGAGTTCTTCATTTTTCCTCCATTATTCCTTAATGACAAGCATAACCGCTTGTATTTTATAATCTCAGAAAAGTATCAGCAGTAAAAATTGACTGTTAAATTAAATCTGGCTTAGAAAATAAGGACATCAATGTGNATGCAAGTGAAAAAGCTTTAATTGTCTTAAAATATAATCAATTTACGTTTTTTAAAATGTTTTATAAATAGGGACATAAAATGAAACAATAGGTACAACGTTTCATAATTATGAACATTTTGGTCTTATAATATTTTTATAAAATAAAGTATTTTAACAACTAAGAACCATATTTAAAAATTATAATAATAATGGTAAATTTATAGCGGACCAGCTAATACCAAAATTTCTACTGTTAAAGCACACAGTTAAGAAAAAAAAATTAAAGATGGAAGTGTCATGAAATTTATGGTCATAATAGGGACATTTACCTTACAAATGTAGGAAATTTTATTTTCTAAAAATTGCTTCATGTTACGCATAAAGTTTCGAGTAGAGTTTACTTTTATTCAACTTTATGCTCAAAAAATGATGTATTTTTATTGCGGGCCGTTACAAAAACACAGATTTACCTTCAAAGAAACGCATTAGTCACGAATCAAGTTCGCCAACCCCAACGTAAACGCAGAGAAGACACAAAAACTTCGGATTCGCGTACACAAAATCGGCCGGTCACGTACTTCGCGTACAGCGCAACGATAAAAGTCTTGTTCGAGACACCGATGCGCGATCGTTCCGCGTTCGAATTCCGCGAAACGACAAAGGAAAAGAAAAAAAACAGTAAACAGCGCAAATAACGCAACTGAAAACGTACGAAACGTATAATCAAATATTGTGAAAACAAAAAAAAAAAAAAAAAAAATGAGTTCAACGAAACAAAGATGAATGGCCATTCCAAAGATACGTTTGCTCAACGATGAAACCAAATATCCATTTGCATGTACGCAAGTTTCCATCGCGCAGTTTACTTTCAGGAGGCAGGTTGGTTGAAACAAAAAAAAAAAAAAAAAAAAAAACGCGTGTACACATTGACACTTTGGTGTACACGAAAATGCCACGTTTGGCTCTCGATCCCACGGTAAACGCGGATAGACGATCAAAAGAAAAAATGCGTGCGTGCATGTATAAAAGGGGCCATCCAACTCGACACCCGTACTACAAGTGACCACGACGCCGAGGTACACGGAATCATGTGGCTCCCGATGCTCATCAAATACCCTTGTCTGGCGCTGACGGTGACCCTACTCCTACCGCACCACGGGCACTGCAGCTACATCGAGCCGTGCCAAGAGCATGACCCAAGAATGGTGAGCGAGGCAAAAAGGGTTTCTCATAATTTAGATCCCCACGTTGTATGGTACATGTAAACCGAATGGCTTTTTTACAGGCACCCGCAGTTAGTGAAATCGTGAGACAAGAGACACAGCCACAAGCCCCTTCGACCCACGCTGTCGGTTCGTTGACGAGCACAGACGTGATGGCGATACAACATGCGGTGCCACAAAGGTTAGTTGTCTACAAAAACCATGAGCAGATTCTGCAGCCACAAGGACAACAGGTTATTCGGGTCAACCAGCCAGTGAGAGGGGTATCCAATAGTCAACCCCCTCCGCCACCAGCAGCGGTATCATATTCAATTGCACGGTCGATTGTCCAACCAGCAACGACATTTTATTCAGCTGCACCGCAGTACAGTCAACCCCTTTCGCCACCACCAACGATGTTACGTTCAGTTTCAATGTCGAGTCAACCAGCAACGGTATCTCATTCAACTGCACCGCAGTACAGTCAACCCCCTCCGCCACCAGCAGCGGTGTTTCATTCGGCTGCACCAGCGTACAGTCAACCAGCTCGATTGTCTTCGTGCGTTAAACATAAAACAGTTGAAAGCAAGACTATTGTGTCCGAGCCACCTATGGTGTCCACTGCACTTGCACAAGTGCAGTTTTATCCCAACCTCAATCGGATCTCGTACTCTTCGGTCACTGAAAATCAACCGTCAAGATACAGTGACCATCCGGTGGGAACGTGTATCTGTAAAAAGTAAAGAAATTCACTCTCTCTGAGGTGATTTGTTCTCATTATCTGCAAATGATGACTCTCGCGCGAGTCCATCGCTACTCGTGCGGAAGATCGTTTTATTCGCACTCGTTACGTATAAATAATTGTATATTATATGAATACACCCATGTAGAGAAACGAAAAAATAGTTGATTGGTAATATAGTGGTTTTGGTAATTTTTGTCATGTCGATCTGTTGTAGACTACTTAATTCTTTAATGTTTTCCAGCAATGGACTAGCTTCAAATAAATGTTTCGTTTGAAAATAATGTCAATCGTGTCTGAGTCATTATTTTTCCCTTACCAACCAATGCTCTTTGCGTCTCGTTATCACTACTCTATAATTTTTATTTCGTTTTGTTTTTAACTAACAATACTTTTAACGCACACATCTGTGTACATGTACGCTCTCAGAGAATGAATATGTTAACACTGTTTTTGTTAAATTTACAAACGCGTGTGATATGGTTGTACGTATTTCTTCGCATTTCTTGATTTTTGACCCGTTGAATTAAAAAAGTTGAAAATTCACAAAAGAGAAAAATTTTCCACCGACAATTGTTACTAATGGATAAAATTTAATTTAAATGTAATTCAGTTCTTGATAACAGTGTTGGCATTTATTTAGCTTCGAATGCATCCTTTGGGCCTTAATTATTGCCACTTTAAAAAAATTTTATAACAAAATATTAGTCTCACGAAGAGTTGAAAAAACCAGTTGGTCTAGTTGTTTGGATAAAAATTTAAAACTGGTTAAAGAATCTTTTAAATATATCTGAAAATACAGATTATTAATTTAAATAAAACTAAAATCCAACACTAAAGTTATGGTAAAAACAATTTTTAAATAAATCTAATAATACATTGCCGTCATACAGTTATAAGTATAAAAATATGTTACATCAGATTGAAGATATAAGTATTCTAATTATTTACAACTTGTTATCAATCTATATTTGTCCAAATCCAAGAATCAGTAATTTATAGATAATTTATTGTTGTACTTAAATCTTCGATGTGTGTATTGTACGTATCCATAAAACAAATAAGAAAAATTAATAATTTTTTCGATCACAATGAGCTTTTGTTTTTTTAGAGACGTTCATGTAAAAACGTAGATTTTATTTTACGGTGTCTCGGCACTTTATTATTTTAATGGCTTTTCAAGACAGGTATTTATATTACTTTGTGGAAGTGGTTCTGACGTTGCCAAATCAGCGTTAAGAAAACCGTTTAACTTACCTCGCAAACACAAAAAAGAAGTATTATTGTATAACTAGCACTATCACTATGAGAATAATGAGTCACATTATGAAATCCTTGCCCACATGACTTAATTTACTTTTTTACGTCAGTTACAACTACAGAATAGAATGACTCTTTGCTCTACTTCTATTCGTTGGAATATTTTGGTAAGAATATTATCTAACATTGAGATGAAAATTCAACTTATTTTGTAAAAAATTTAGAGCATCAAGTGCTTGAGAAAAAGAAGTTTGGGTACACATTCAACATCAAAATTTGAACTCGGAAAATAATTTTAAAAAATAAATAAATATAAAGGTACTCCAATATGTTGAATTTTTTAATTTTTACAATGGACTAACTTTGAATCTGAAACATAAAAAACAAAGTTATTAATTATTCCTAAATAAATTTGTTATATCAAAAAATACTATCTGCGGCAAAATTCATGCAACTCAAATTAAGATAGTTGTAACGTACGTAAGTATAGGTGAGACTCTAGGCTACCTCTGACCTCTCATTGCATCTCGTAACAAGGGGCCTTAGGGCCAGGAGTAGGAAAGAGAGAGCAAGGGAAGAGGCTTTCGGGGGAGTGCAAAACGAGCCTCGAAAGGGATAACATGCGCGACTTTGTCTTATGAAACTGATATTTTAAATGAAGATCCGTAACCTAATAATATTACTAAATAATAATATATAATCGTTCTTTCAACGCATTTCCTTACCAATCTCTTTCCCTGCACGTAACATACGGTATCACCTACAGTTTTTCGAAACTTGAATAATTCAACAAGTTATTGCATACTTCTCTAAAAATCATTGTTAATTATTGCTAGTTAAAATACCCAAGTGTACTAAGAAACTTTACATCACAAAACGAACAAAAATACCAGATAATTTTAACATAATACAAGGAGTCGAAAACAACTTTATCACCTATTTTAAAGTCAAGCAAATCGTTTTTTAATGAGTATGTTTTTTGAACGGCACATGACATTTTAAAAGATAATGTATTGAGAGAGAATAATTTTGAGAAATGTTTAATGGTGAAAATAAAATCTTATTCATCTGTAGGAAACTATAAACTTCAGAAATCTGTAATTTATGGTTTGTCAGTGGCTCTCGTGATAGCAGATAATTATTATGAAGAAATAATGACTCTCTTGGTGATGCTATCAAAATCGTTTATTGCTGTGAACAACGTTTTGGCCCGTACAGTAAACCACGTTACAAGGCCCTCATCAGGTACAACTTTATAGCCATGATAATAGCGACTATAGGTATCACGATAGATGGTAGATCGAAAAATACTTCGTAATATATGGTCTTAAAATCGGCACTTTTCGAATGAATGAAATTCACAGTACTTACCCTCATGGAACAAAAATTTTACATGAATTTACCGTGTAAAATAACATAAAACAAATTTTTCTTGACTCATGATTTCTAGAGATACTGCTACCGGATTATTGTTATTACTATCGACATAAGTATTATTGGTAAACAAACATGCAAATACGTTTTCCCAGTAATTTCTCCGCGGAAGTTTGTAACAATATTATTGATACTCTTGCAAATAACGAATTCACGAAACAATCTTTTTTACTCGCTAACGGATATGAATATCGTTAAAACAAAAGTCTTATCACCGCATAACATGTGCACTCGCGTTATTATGATGCAGCGATGTTTTGGATCGAGAGCACGTTCCGCGTGATGTACATGTACTTCTCGTTTAATCGAGTACCCGGCATAAAAGATGAAACCATAACCACCACCGAGCCCAAATCCTTACCCCTGGCTCGACGATGAGGACCTCTCATTCTCCAGCATTCAAAATCGGTAGGCATGTCCTCGTGCTCTGGGCCTGCTGCTTTTTTTGTCAAGCCTACTCGCGTGGAGGCCTGTCGGCGTTCTACCAAGCGGTTCATCCGATCGACCAGGGACCGGCTGTCTACAGGAGTCGACATCTCGTTAAAAGAGAGGTAAGCATGTTTTCAAGCATTGCTTAAGGATTTTTTTTGTATCTCTACTGAGGGGGTCTCAGCCCCATGTGCACCTCGCGCGCCACCCCCCAAACTTTAATCAAATCTCAACATTTTATATTAAACAGATTAATTTCTTCTTTTTGTAAATTTTATTATCTCTATGCGAATATGTAACCTGATCATTTAGTTTCTTTCTCAACTTTGTTTTCTACAAAATTTTGTTTTTTAATTTATTCACTTTAAAAACTTCACGATTTGTCTCAGCCAATCACATCGCGAGTAAAATGCTTTAGTCACGAGACATCCTTTATTTTTAAGAATTAAAAATTCAAAAACAATAAAGCTTCTACTTTAAGTCATCAAATGAGAAATTGTAAGATGGAAACGTAAATTCAAAATTAGTGCTCTTTTAAGCCAATGACCAGTTGTCAGTAGCCAATGTTATTGAGGCTTTACTATGAGGCCATAAAACTTTTAAGATAAAAAATAAGGATATAACTTTAAATAAGGTGGTGTCAGTAACTTTAAAAACTTTGCGTCATGGGCAGACTAAGTACGAAAAGGCTGGAAATTGGCTCATAGTAAATTTTTGTAAAGTAATCAAGTAACAAAAACTTCATTTTTATTAGGGAAGCTAGGGGCTAATATTGAAATAATTTTTAAAAAATGACTCGTCATCTCTTTGCTCTTTTAGTATCAAAAAAGTAATTGTTGACAATCTAACTATTACTGCATTGAACCAAAAAGAAAAACTTTTTTACAAAAAGTATTTTAAAAAAAAGTTGTCATAACTTACCCCGTCCTTGGGACTAATTGCAACAGTACCACAAAGCAGACAGTAAAAGTAAAAATAATTCCAATTTTAAAATAAAAATGCCATTTAATGATTTAAACTTACTTTTGAATACTATAGTTATATCCCTGTAAACATTGACCTTATAGTTGACTCACGTTTCCTCATTTATAACTACCCTTTTTGAAGTTCTTTTATCTTAATAGAGTTTTAAGTAGCATTACGTAGGTTTTGCTGAAAGAACATATTTTATGATGATTATTTTTGCTTAATTTAATATCTATATCATACCTCTCATAAGCTGATCGACCTGCCTGAAAGCGAAACGATCTGCCTGACAGTGCGGTGATGAAATATATATTTATATGGTTAATTTTTGTTAGATTACGTAAAAATTTGACTTTGTAAAAAGCTATTGAAGATAATTTGAATACTTTTTTCCTCCCGTATAATAGAAAAATAATTATGCTGTTTTTTCTAAAAGTTGTTACAACTAGCTTTCCTACAGATAATAAAAAGAGATATTTAAAAAAATTCTTTTTTTTTATGTAACTGGCTTTATCTAAAACAAAAAATCATGAAACATTAGGTACCATCATTACGCTCTTACTTATTATAAATTAAAGTAATTACTGAATCAATTTAAATAACAAAATAATTTTTTGAAAAACATCAACGGTGTGTTAAATAATACCCTACATGAATTCCATTTATTTACTCTATTTAATTTTACTTAACATTCTAAAGTTGTTTATTGTGTTTTGAGTTGCACAAAAAATTATAGCATGCAAAACAAGTGATAATATATATTAATAAATCCACAAAAAATACCCCAAATTTATGTTTAATACCTACATAGTACCTGCCACTACGAACAATTTGAGCTCGTCTCGAGGGTGTCTCAAAAAAAAAAAAATTTTTTTTTAAAGGGGACGAATTTGGAATATGTTTTGTGGATTTACTTTAAATATGTAATTCTTCTTTTTCACATTACTTAGATATATTCATTAGTTATAATTTATTTTGATAACTTCATTGCTCAACATATTTAGGGTCATACTTTTTTACAAAAATATACTTAAAAAAAGAGTTCTAAGAACGATACATTACAGGTTGGCAAACACATGATGGACACAACACATATACAGGTTGTTACGCCAGTAATGCCATCGGTCTTGAAAACTGCCACCCACCAAATAATTGAGCAATTTATACCAAAAACTGCAAACCATGTGAAAAAACA